GGTTTATGTGGCCCTTTCTGTCTCTTGGGCTAATGCTTTCCTTGTGACTTTAGTGTTCTTTATTCTCCTTTACTCCAGGTGGTTGGAATCAATTGATGCATCTTAGATGGCTGCTCGCTAGCTTTTAAGACCCCAGACTTAGCTGTAATCTTTCACGAAGCCAACTGTCAAGCCTTTCATCTGCCGTGCTGATGGGTGGGTTCAAACTGCCAACGTTTAGGTGAGTAGTCAACCACAAACTGCTTGCATCACCCAGGGGCCTGCTTTGTAAAAAAACAAACAAAAAAATCCCCAAACCCGTGGCTGTCCACTCAACTCATAGCGACCGTATACCACAGAGTAGAACTGCCCCATAGGGTTTCCAAGGAGTGGCTGGTGGATTTGAACCGCCGATCTTTTGGTTAGCTGTGAACTCTTAACCACTGCACCACCAGGGCTCCGCTCTGTAAAAAGTGCCCCCTAAATATTTGTTTGTTCCAAGAGTATTTCTCACTTGCGCTCGCTAACAAAACTATCACCCTCTGCTTTCCCTGGGGCTCCTCTGTGTCTGGCTGGACACAGGCCTGCTACACACTGGCCTCTCCACTACAGCTGGAACATTAGAGCTTTGGGGGTGCCGGATGGGGAACCTGGCCTGCCATCAGAGGGTCCACACAGCCTAGCTCCTGCCCCAGGGTCTTGCAGAGGTTTTGGAGAAGCTGCTGGTTCCTCTTTTATGCGGATGGCTGACTGCTGTGCACAAAACTCAGGTACTGAGGAGAATCTGGGCCAGAAGCCACACTCAAGTAGCAGCAGAAGCCTCCCGCTCATCCTTCCTTCTGGGTCAAAATCACTGCTCAGGGCTTCTGCTCTCCGTAGGATTAACTTTCTCCCAGGAGGCTCTGCAGTTCCAGCAAACCGTCGTTTGATTTCCTCAGTCCACCCCAACATGTTTGATTGGCCCAGACACATGCATCTTCCCCCACTCCACGCCCTACACACACATGAAGAAGTCAGCGAGGTTAAACGGTGCTGGCATGAACCCTCCTGTGTGCTGGGCACGAAGCGCGCTAAGGAGAACGAAGACGAAAAGGAGGAAACCCTGCAAACCAAAATCTGCGTCAACGCCAAACTGTGTGAGCTACACCGTTGATATTAAAGAGGCTGGGAGGCGTGGGCGCTCAGTGCGGCTGGAGGACTGAGGGCACGCAGATAGATGGGGTACGGTTTGAATTGGGAGAGGAGACAGAGGGGTGCATTCTCACAGGTTGGTCCGCTGTGGTCAGGGGAGCGTGGGCTGAGGCGCAAAGAAGTGCCCCGGTGGCCTTGGATTGGAACGCAGATTGGAAGGGCAGATGCATTGTGGGAGGAAAGTGGATGGCTAACCTGAGGCTGTGGGAGGTGGGGCTGAGAAGGGGCA